TGAGACCCTCAGCAACTTAGCAAGACCATGTCCCAACATAAAAAAAGCCTGGTGATGGTAAAGTGCCCCTTGGGTTCAATCCTGATCCCCCCAAAATTTATTTGTGCATGTGTGTATATGTGTGTAATATACAAACACACACACACACACACACACACACATACACACATGAAATTTCTAGTTGTCCCATCCCTTCTCCTAGTACACTGAAATACACACCGCTTGTCATAAATCAGGTGTCGGCAAAGGTATGGGTGATTTCTGAGCTGCATCCTCTGCTTTATCGGGACATTCGCTGTTCTTTGTGCTGAAAGCACCCTGTCTTCATCATCATAGCTTTGGAAGCAGTCCTGGCACCCAGTAGGACAAGTCTTGGCAACTGTTCTTCAGAAGCGTCTAGACTGGTCATGGCTCTCAGCGTTTCAATAAACAATTTAGAATCAGCTTGTCACATGCCAAAAACAAGCAAAAAATATTTTCTAGTACTTTTATACATTAACTATCATGTATCATTAATAAATTTGCATAATTCTTCCTGGACCAGTAAATTTCAAATAGAAAATTTCAGATGGATTTTTCAAATTCTTGTTGGACTAGATGCATGTGACCTGACCCTCTGTGAAGGCTCAGTAGTGAGCCCCAGGGCTGCATTGCATATAGAAGGAGGCACGTTGCATGGAAGGGTACACAGTCCTAACCCTAACCCCTTGCAGAGAGGACTGAGAAAGAGCCCTGGGTGAGGAGTGGCAGGCAGGGTCTGTGTCCAGCTCTGCATCTCTCCTCAGGGTGCACAGGGGATAGCCCGTCATCGAGGAAAGTCACTCCCTTCTTGCTCTCCATGGCTTCTGTAGCTGGTGCTCTTGTTCCCACATTCTGTGGAGAGTTAGTGTGTCCACTGTGTGTCAGCAGAACTAAGGGTATAAATAATTAAGGACCCACCTCCATCTTGGGGAGCCTAACTCCCCAGGGTCTCTGGGACTGCGCCCCAGTCAACACCATGTCTTAGAAGTGACCCAGCCACATACAAAAAAATGTTCCGTGGTCAGATAACAGAAGAGCTTCCTGCAGCACCCTGCTCATGCATGTTCACAGCTATGCGACTGAAGTGTCTCAGCCTTTAGCCCAGCACTCCCCAAGTTGCCTAATGATTGTATTAGTTTCCTATTGCTGCTATTAATAAATTACTAAAAACGTGACTTAACACAGATTTATCTGACACTTCTGGAGGTCAGAAGTCAGCGCGGGGTCTCACTAAAACTAAAATCAAGGTAATTTTTGGCACGGCTGAGGTCGCTCCTGGAGGGCAAATCCATTTTCTTGCCTTTTCCCAGCCTTTAGAGGCTGTTTGAGTGCTTGGCCCCCGTGCTCCCACCACTCCATGGGCAGCGTGGCTCGTCCGATCTTTTTCATGAGGCCATCTTTCTGGTTCTGTCGCCACAGTTCTAGCTGACTCCTCTGCCTCCCTCTTCCACATTTAAAGGACCCTTGTGATTATGTTGGGGATGATCCAGTATAATCTCTTTAAGGTTACCTGATTAGAAACTTTAATTCCATCTGCAACCTTAATTCCCTTTAGTCATTTAAGACCACAGTCCCAGTTTCCAGGGATGTGGCTATGGGCATCTTTGAGGCTGTCATTCTACCTACCAGCAGAAGCTGAGTCAACTCATGAGTCCGCTCCTCCTGCTTCAAGGCACACCTGGCTCAGCAGCACCTGCACCTTGTAGGGCTAGGTAGGGGCGGAGCATCTCTCTGTGTCTCCAATTCTTGTCCTAAGCTGCTCCTGGCAGCATTCCAAAAGCCGGTTTGATTCCTTTCATTCTGCAGAATGCAAACCCCACCAGGGCAGGGATTTTGTCTGTTCCATTCACTGCCATATCATACTGCCTGGCATATGCTAGGTGTTTGATACATATTTTTTGATCCACTAACAGTGGTCGGTAGTCTCTCCAATAAAACAGCAAGTTTCTTGAGGGCAGGATCTCCTTGACCAGTTCATCTCTTCTTCCCCAGGGCTTCAAAGCAGCTGGTGCTCAATCTAAAGACTGTCTAGCATGGGAGGAGGCAAGCTCACCAGCAGGGGGCCATTTCCTGCAGGAATTTCTCACAGTCCCTACCCTATTTGGGCTAATCTGGCACATCCAGAAACCCCTTCAACCTCTGAGCACAGGTTGAGATAATCAGCTTCTCAGAAAAATCTGCAACTGTGGTTCCCAAACTTCCCTGTTTCACTTTGACAGTGTCTCAACTATATTTTTCAGTGAATCTGCATGAATTAGCTGATCATCTTATTTATTAAGCAGTTAGGCTCAAACTTGCTATTATGTCCTAACAACATAGTAGCTATTTGAAAAAATAATACACATACATTAAATAAAACTATTTTTATCTTTAATCTTAATCTCTTACAGAGGGGACATGTGTCCTGGCTGGAAATAACATAGCTTCTCAAACCTTGAAATCAGATTAGATTTGTCATCCTCATTTCCTATTCCAACTGATTTACATAAGAACTTTTTCTCATAGCAACTGCAGAAAACTCAAGTCTGTAAAGATCAGATGTCATCTAAAGGAATATGGTGTGAGCCACTGTTGAAACCACCAGCTACCTTGGAGGAGGAGTCCCACGAGTAGTGTGTGACTGCCGGGTTAGCTTTCCATTATGCTTGGCCAGCAGTGTCCAAGCAGAGAGTAGACTCGGGCCACTCAGTCTGTCTGTGTCCTGGGGAAACTGACCTCTGCTGCTTCCCAGTAGGCATCCTCTCCTGGCCTGGACTGTTCTCAGCTGGAGCTCATCTTCCTGAGGATGGCCTCAGGAGTGAGGCACAGAGGTGACATGAGTTCTAGAAGGAGGGGGACCAGGGACCTGGGTGCACACTGGCCTTTATTGTAGGAAGAGAGACAGGTGTCATCTGTCTGTGACATGAGCTCTGGAAGGAGGGGTTCCAGGGACCTGGGTGCACACTGGCCCTTCACTGTAGGAAGAGACGGGTGTCATCTGTCTAATGGGCACTTCTGTGGCTCTTGCTATGTGCTATGTACCAGGCACTATTCTAAGTGCTTTGTAAATAGTAGGTCATTCAATCCTGACCATAGCCCCATGAAGCTGCTCTCATATTACGCTCATTTTACAGATGAGGAAACGGGTACAAGGAGTACCTTGTCCAACGTTCACAGAGCTAGGACATGGTGGAGCTGGGATTTGGACCCAGGTTCCTGCCTTCACCTGCACTTTTCCCTCAGTGGGTCAGGAAACTTGGCTTCAGAAGCATCCCTCTCCTTTTGGATGTGTGCTGCTGTCAAGGCATGGGATTTCTGGGATCCTATTCCTTCTGCTGTGAAGGGAACACAGTAAATTCACCCTTGAGTCATTGAAAGGATTGGAGGAGACTGTGTGTAAAGTGTTTTCCATTACACAGGGTAAAAGAAAGAAAGACGTCTTCACATTTCTCAGGCAGCCTTCGTGTAAAGGAGCCTGGAGGACAGCAGGGGGCAGCACTAGGCTGCAAAAGAACATTTTCTCCTGGGCCTGAAGCACTACCTATTCACACAGGGATCCTGGATCTTAGTGCCTGAGATAATCTGTTTCTCATCCGTTTAAGCAGAACATTTGAGGTGATTTTGCTAAATGAGTAAGAACAAAATCACAGATTGACAGAATTAATTCAGTGGAGAGCCACAGACGCAAATTCAGAAGTAAATCCATGGTCAGCCTCACACCTCAGGAACCAACTCTCCCTGAAGACGCAGGGCTGTGCCCTCTGCAGCTGCACTATCTGAGGTGCTGCCCTGGGATATTGGTGAAGCGGAAATGGTGCCTCCTGGTGATGTGTCCCTGAGGAAGAGCCACTTAGAAAGTGACCCCCAGAGAGTCCAGCTGAATCTCTGGAAATGGTCTTCTCACACAAAAAAGAAAAAGAAAAAATTGTTCCCTATCCTTTTCAACTCCAAGTTGTATGGAAACCTAGCCCTCTTCCAGAGGAGCTGGAGCAACTCTTGGTTGGTGCCCTGTGCTCCTTGCTCACCCATCTGCATCTGCAGGCCACTGTCCACCTGAGCTGCCAGAGCTTTTGCAGGTCCACTGGGCCCTGCAGCCCCAGGATCAGCAGCTCAAGGGAAGGCTAGGACCTGAGGAACAGTCAGTATTCAGGAAATATCTATCAAAAAGGAAGCTGAGTTAAACAGATACAGCCTGTGGATTTTCGTTTGGAATCAGTTCTTTTCCTAGGATCATTCAAAAGTTTTGTACAAAATTCCAGGTACTAGATCCATCAGATAATTCTACACAGACCAGGGCCAGCCTTCTTCTCAAATCCTGTGGACAAATGAGCTCAGAAAACTGTAACTGCCAAGAAGACAGTGACACACAAATGGGGTGGGGTGGGGCTTGCAAAATCAAAATTAGTAAAATGCCTAATTAGCTCTTCTCAAAGCATGTGGTGTGAATTTTGTTATTTGCTAAATTTAGTGAACATAAACATTTCATTACATTTGAAAATAATTTGTGGCTTACATTTTTTTTCTCACTTTGCAAGAATTCTTGAGTTTGCACAATGAGTACTGAGAAATCTTAGCAAACCGTGAATTCCATGAATTATCTAAAGCCACATAAACACAAAAATCAAAATTATAAAAGTCCTTCGAAGTTGTTGATGGCAGGAAAACTATTAATGATAGATTTGGATCTTTTTTTTTTTTCATGTGTTTGATTTATGGGTGAAGTCCCCCAAAGGAATGTGTGCTGTGGCCTACAAATATCTCTGTCAAAGCAATCTATCAAAATAATATAAAATCCTGGCATAATATGCAGGACTTTAATGGATTTTCTGAAAATGAGAAATCCTGGATCTTCCCCTCTCAGATGTTTAGACTCATTCCTGGAAGATCATTTGTAATAATCAGACATCTCATCTGATCAACATAAAATGATCTCCTTGACCTTTGATGATTTGCTTACTAAATGGCTTCTGATTTTAATCTAACCTTTTGTCTTCTTTCAGGAATCCTGTTCACAATGTTGGTATTTGGACCTGCCTGTGGATTTATTCTGGGCTCTTTCTGTACCAAAATCTACGTGGATGCAGTCTTCATTGACACAAGTAAGGAGCAGACCTTGATTTCTAACCACCACATGTGAACATTTCCTTCCTCGTAAAGGAGTCTTCAGCCTCTAGGCTTCTAAAACCTTCCTACTAAGCTATAGCCCTATATTAGTCAGCCTTCTGGTGCTGTGACAAACACCTGAGGTAATCGATCTGAAAACAGGAAATGTTTACTTTGTCTCATGGTTTCAGGAGCTGATCTGTGATCAGTTGGCTCATTGCTTTTGAGCTTGTGGTGAGGCACCACATCATGGTGAGAGCAGAGCCGTTCACCTCATGGCAGCCAGGAAGTGAAGGCAGAGAGAAAGAGATCAAGGTCCCAATATCCCCTACTGGAACACATGACTTAGCTTCCTTCCATCAGGCCCCAACGCTAAAGGTTCCACCACCTTCCACAGTGCCACAGGCTGGCTTTCATTCTTCAGATCTGTATTTTATTTTCCTCATCTGTAAATTAAGCAATTCAGTAATCACATCTGCCCCAGAACTCTTTTTAAGAATTAAGTGAGAGGGTATATGTGGAAGGAAATGCCTGGCATTTACTCATTGCAAGTTGGCCCATTAACTGTATGAAAGCCTTCCTTGCTGAACTGAAAATTGTAACACCTGTTCTGGAAATGTGAAGTTCAAGTTGCTTTTGGGATCAGTGAGACAGATGACTTAAAAATCCTTTCTGTAAAATCACTGTTGTGATGGGCTTTGTCAGGAAACACCCCACTCGAAACCATCTTAAGAGAAACCTTTTGTGTTCTTAACCAGAAGAACAAATGTGTTTCTTACTTTGCTCTGTGATCCTGTGTGATTGAACAGTGTGCTAGTCAGCGTGGGCTTAGGTGATGCTGTGGTCACAAGTAATTCCCAAATCTAAGTGATTTTTATCCATCCAGAATTTATCTGGGTCACACTCCCTGTCCAGCATAGGTTGGGGGTGTTAGAGAGTATGGGACTTGTTTCATTGCTCTAGGATAACAGAAGCTTCATCCTGACCCCTAACTTGTACAGTTGCCATGGCAGGAAGCCAGTCTGTGACATACTACACAAGGGCTCTTGAAACTTGTGTTCAGAAATGACACATATTATTTTTACTCATTTGCTGTGTGAAAAAATGACCTCAAATTTAGTGACTTGTGCATTTTTTATCTCTCATTTTTTTTTCTGTGGATCTAGAGTACAGAGCAGCTTAGCTAGATGGTTCTGTTCTAAGTTACTCAGGTTACAATCAAGGCATTGGCCCAGTCAGCAGTCATCTCAAGTCCTAGAGGAGAAAGGATCCACTTCCAAATTCATGCCTTTGGTGTTGGTAACCTTAGAAGGTCCATTTCCAGGCTGACAGCCCTGGACCTCTACAGGGGTACTTCACCAGGAGCAAATACCTAAAGAGAGAATGTAAGAGAGAGCACCTAAGATGAGGAGCCACAGTCTTTTTATAACCTCATCTAGAATTGGCGTCTCATGACATCTGCTGAACTCTGCTTGCTAGGAGCGAGTCATTTGTTCACTTCCACTGTCAAGCAGGAGATAATTACACACAGACATGAATACTGAGGGACAGGGATCTTTGAAGACCATCTGAGACACTTTCTACCCCATGTGGAAAAAAGTCTATCATGTGCCTGAAAGAGAATACTGTGTTTCTGTGTAGTTCAATGAGCAATGAAGCCACAGTTCCTCTCTGAAAACAGAAGGGAGAAGCCATACCAACTTTTCATGCTGATCTGTTCTCAGGATCAATAAGAACTCTCAGTCCCTGGGTTCCCAATCTATCACCTTTCGACAGTGCTAAATTTACTAATTCACCCCAAAGAAATAATGTGGTTTTAAATCCAATCGAGTCGCTTTGTGATTCACTCCATTAATCGCACTGATATATTTACTTGTAGCTAATGACATTACAGATTTCCAAGTGGAAAATAAAATCAAGTGCAGCCTTATTTATTCTTGTCAAGTGCTGGGAGGTGGTGGGATGCCACTGCTTCCCGCAGCTGGCTGGCCTTTTGAACCCCACTCCCAGCAGGCAGCGTGAAGGGTGGGTTGGTGAGAGAAACACCCAGGAAGGGAGCCAGCGGTCATCTTGCTTATAGGGTCAGGAAAACCAGCTCTCAATGCTATAGCACAGGACAAGAGATGGGAGGAGGATAAGGAAGGGAAAGCTGACCTGAGGGAAACTTGAAGTAGCTGGGCTACATATTCTGCCTTTGGCATATAATCCATAGCTCCTGGAACCAAGCTTGTGAATGACCACAATTTGAGCCAGAAAGAACTCAGGTATCACTCTCTTCCAGATATTTCATATTCCCATTAAGGAAACTGAGTTCCAGAGAGGAAAGGAGAGGGACCCAATGTGAAGGGTGCATCTATATAAAACCCAGGTCTCCTGAGCCAACATGCAGGTATCTACTTCAAGATTGCTCTCATCCAGCTCCCCAATGAGAAACAGATCCAAACAGGGAAATCCTGCAAGTACCAGCATTTGGATCTCTTTTCTCAGTGCCCAGAATAACTAAAGAAGTGATAGACAGGTAGCTTGGCAGGGTGGGGTTTACTTGTATACTCTCAGAACACTCAGCTTGATTAGGCTATTCCTTCAGCCTAGAATGCTGTTCCCATCCCATTCTGTTAACCTATTTGCTCACCCTTCAAGCTCAGTGTGAAACAATATCATCTACAGTTCCTATCTCATTGTCAGTTTGTTACCTCCCCTAGGCAAGACAGATGGGCGCTTTTCTCTTCTGTCAGGGCATCTTGTGATTGGCAGTCTTCTTCACTCCAAGTTGACAGGGGACTTCCTGGTCTGTTTCTGGGAAATGGAAGGATGCTTTGTAAGTCACCATCTTTGTTTGCGTCTTTCTCCAAGGTCCTGAGGTTGGGTTGTTGGTGCTGCTCCCTGCCAGGAGAGGGCAGAAGAACACCATGTATTCTGTTATGGAGTCAGCCACAGAATTCTACAGTTTCCAGCAATTTTTATAATTTCCAATTTTGTGACCAAAAACTTGTCGTCGATAAGTGGATTTGGCTATATTTTGAGGAAGGGATTCTCCATACTTTAATGCCTTCCCTGTATTTTCCTCACTTAATCTAAAAGACAGCCTTGCTTTAGGACTGTTCAATAAGCAGGAACATTATCTGAAGTCTGAATGTTCAGGGGCTAGGGATATAGCCACATATTTCTAAAATTACAGCTGAGAGCAGGGGGCCTGGAGAGTCAGTGGCTTCATGTGGAGGCAGCAAGGTAGGTCACAGAGGACCTTCATGTGGGTAGCAGATGGGGGTGGGGGAAGAAATTATCTTCCCCCCATGCAGCCTGGTGGCAGCTGGGGAAGCAACACAAGAGGAAGAGTCTGGAACCAAATCTGGTTGGAACCTGAGAATAGGTGCAGCAGAGACTGCAGTGGAGGGGTTGCTCGTAGGATTGGGCTTCTGTGGCAGGAGAGGTCCCATGGGACAGCTCCTCTGGAGGCTCACCTGGCTGGGCCTGGACATGGGATTCTGTTGCCCTTGCCTTTCATCTGTTTGATGGCTATGGGGCTTCCTTTGCCTCTCTTCTTAAGGAGAATGGATCCCTCTTCTGAGAGCTGCAGGGAGAAATGATGGTCTTTGCAGGATTTCCCTGTTTGGATCTCTTTGTTAGATGAAAACTCAGTTAGGAAGAGAACCTTGAAAAAGAGAGGACTCAGTTGCAGAGCGTGCTCCCGATCGTTGAATTGACCAACCTTGACGGTTTGGACTTATTAGGTGAAGATCAGAAGCAGCAGTTGCCCCAAACTGATCACTTACTGAAGCTGTGCATAGATTGTTTTATTGGAAACTCAAAGCCTTATCATGGGAGTAAGGGACCTGCTATTGACAAAGCTTTATCATGCACAGGGTAAGAGTCTGGGCATAGGACTCGGGCCTGAATCCGAGACTCCTGACCTGGGGGATGTTACTTCTCACATGTCTGTGTGCAGGTGACACAAGTTAATCACTCAAAGCATTTAGTGCCTGGCATATAGTAAGGACACAATAAACGATAGACTAAGGAGGAAGCTGAGCCGTTAACTAGTTTCCACAGCCAGTATGGGATAGATCCCCGATGCCACCCCAGGCTTATCTTATCCCAAACCCCACTCCTAGCCTAACAGCTTGCTTTTCTGAAGCCTGGTTTTCACCAGAAGGCTGCTCCCTTCCATGGACAAAGGCCTTGCAGAGCTCACCTGACCTCACCAGCACATCCATATCCTAAGGCACCTGCCAGCTGGCCCCGAAGACAGCTGTAAGGTGTTTGCATCTGGAGCAAAATATGGCCATCTGTTTGCTCCACAAAAAAAGGTCAGCAAGCTGAGCACCTCCTGCTCTGCCATTCAGAGAGCTGGTGCCACTGCCAGCCAGATGCCTTCATTTTGGACTGATTAATCCAGTGACTGGGATCCTGAATGTTCCCTGGCACCCTTCACACCCCTCCCTGTCTCCAATTTCTAATTAGGTTTGTAACTTAATGATACTCCTGGTGTTCTGAAGTCCCATAGCAAAAGTTTGGCAAAATAAGTTCAACAAATAGGTAAATGAACTTTTTTTTTAAGGCACCCAGAGAGCTATAGGGATGTTTACATACCAGGAAGAAGTAGAAATGTCCTTGTTTGCTTTGACCTGCTTTTCTCACAATCTCAGGTTTCCTCATGGATGGACTGGTTAATGGGTGTTAAACTGGTTTAAATCCCATTATGAGTGATTTCCTTTGACATTGGAAATGGATGGGATTCTCAAAGGGCCCCATAGGTGCACTTGCCCCTCCTCAGAGAAAGCAAACAACTGTCACCTACTCACTCAGCTTACCCAATGCAAATAATAAAAATATCCCCAAATTCAGATGCCCAAAGGAAAACATTAGAAAAATGGATCTTATAAAGAAAAAGACCCTTCTCTGCCCAGGGACTTCTAAGCAAAGCCAGGCCCAACTGTGTCTGGTCTCTTGGCAGACGGGCCTACCATCATGGTGCACCCAGCAGGTAGCTCTCCTGCTCTGCTCCTGTCCTTCCCTCTAGGTTATGCTGCAGTAACAAATACCCCTGACACCTCACTGCCTTAAAGTCCTGAAGGTTTGTTTCTTGTTTGTATTATACATCTAAATTTCTACCTGAAATAAATAGCATGTTTTACCAGTGTCTATATTGGCCAAGTGATAGACATGTGGCTAAAGGAAATGAGTCCTCTGAAGAAATCATTCCTTGCTCAGGATTTCCCTTCAGCTGGGGATACTATCCTGCCCCATTCCACTCAGCATCTTTCTTCATCCATGCATCTGACTTCATTGACCATTTGATGCATTTGACTAAATGAGACAGATTGGTGCTTTTCTGTTGTGCTCTGAGCATCTTGCTGACAAAAGCCTTCATTAAAAGGCTGAAACTGCAGTAATTTTTTAAAGTCAAGACATGAACTAGAATCAGGTAGAAAAAAAAAAAAGAGGTTTTTTTCAAGCCTTGCCTCCACAGAGCAGGAATGTCTATTTCTTAAGTCTTTTGTACTAGGCAGGGTACGATAGGTTATGTCATAGTGACAAATACCCCTGAAATCTCAGTGGTTTAGAGAACTAAAGGTTTATTTCTTATTCATACTGTACAACCATTGCAGGTCCATAGGAAATCAGGTTTATTGTAGCCTGTCAGATAACATTTAGGAGGAAGAAATTTGGGGATTCATAGGCCAGTTTGTTTACTCTTCCACACAGAAGTGACACATGTCCCCTCTGCTTATGTTTCATGGGCAAAACTCTGGCACATGGCTACATCAGACTTCATAGAGTAAGGAAAGTGTAATCCCCTTGTCCCTGAAAGAAGAGGCTCTCCGAATGCAGACACTGCCAACATCTACCACTCCATTGTTTGTCAGCCTGGGTGGGAAACTCCCCCTCAGCATCAGTAATTCTGGAACAGTCTCTACTGAGCCTTGGCAATTGCCAGGCAAGTGGAAGGAAGTTTTCACCATAGCTAGCCCAAATGCCTCATAAAAATATTATTCATTGTGGAGATGGGTGGAGAAAAGAAGTTTCCAGACTGGGTTCAAGCGTTAGTCATCTTTCCAAAATCAGACTGGAAGTCAGTCATGAAGCCTACCCATGTAGAGAGCAGACACTCCAGAGCCAAGTGATTTCTCCCTTAGGGTCTTTTTCTCCCTGCCACAGTGCTCTGGGTAATTAAAATTAAGGGGAGGGGGGAATCAATACTTCTCAAAATAGCCAATGTTGCTTTTCCTGATCTACAAAATCTTGCCCTTCACCTAGCTCCCTGCGGACCCCATTTTCTGGCTTCACCCAAAAGGCAAGTGTGCTTTGGTTCTAACACAGAAGATGCACTCTTCCCTGTCATTCAAACTTCCAGCCAAACCTAGCCTTTCTGCATACATGCACATACCTACAGGAGTAGGTCCACTGGTTACACAAACAGCTGCCTGCCACCCCCACTGCCATTTCTCTCCCCGGGATGTTTTCTCACACTTACAACAGAGTCACTAACTTCCTGTGACTTTCCACGTAGGACTGTTTTTGTTTCCCCAACAACTGCTAGGTTTTCTTTCTCTTTCATCACTCACATCTGCCAGGCTCCAATTCCCCCTTTATGGAGCCTGTAGACAATGCAGGGGAGCTGGCAGCTCCCTTTGTTTTCATTCATTGCTTAGCAGCAGGTGAAGAAACAGTAAGTGACTAGTGAAACAGTCCTAGTGCTCTTCAGCTACCCCAGGCAATTTCACTTCCTTTTCTCTTTCCTCATTTGCATAAAAATACTTTCAGGATCACCTTGTATTTTCCTATGCCTAAACTTCTTTAAAAAACATAATCCAAATATTGAACTGCTCATTTGTATACAAAGAAACATAAAATAATAAGAGATGCCACATGCAAAAAACCTACTACGTGCCAGGGATTCTTATGATCTCTCATCCTTGCAACTACTGTAAGTGGATGCCATGTTTATTTTGCAGATGATAATACTGAGGCCCAGGGAGTGCTATGGCTAATAAGGGGAAGGGCTGGGTTTCAGCCCCCAAGTTCTCTGAAACATCTGGTCCCTGGTTAATGCCGCTGGGTGTACATCAAGGACAGAGATCAACCGTGTTGCAGAATCAGCTTGCCACCTCTCCAAAGAGCTGGTGGTCTTAGGCCCACTGTACAAAGCACAGGAAGGAATCATTCACCCAGATTGCTGTAGGGAGCAGAATGCAGATTATCGAGGGCAACAGTATAGCAGAGTGGTAGAGTGTGGGCCTTTATGGGCAAATACTGGGGTTATAGTTTTCCACTCTGTGAACCTGGGCAGGGAACCTATCCATTGTGAGCCTCAGTTTCCCCATCTAAATAAAATCAGATAATGAATAGGCAAAATAGGGGTCATGAAATTTCTCTGCTTTGTAGAATTGCAGGGAGGGTTGACTGGGACACAAATGACTGTGCTCTGCATAATGACTGGTGCAGACAGACACCCTCTGTAAATGATGGCTGGCATCATCATTAGTGTTAGCTGAGGAGTCTTCAGGGAGAGCGCTTTATAAATGCTGAAGTATTCATCTGGTGTCTGCAGTCATTACTCTTTCAGGAGCTGACCATCCATCTGGTCCAGGCCTGCAGACCAGTTGGTCTTAACTCATGTGCCGTTCTGTAGGTCTCCAAGAATTTCCTTCTGGGCTCCAGGAGCATGGTTTATCATCAAAGAGCAATTCTTCTGGGAATGATGCTTTGCAGGGCAGCTGTAAAGAGAAAGAAGGAAAAATACCAAGGAGAAGGCTGTAGTCTGTGTTTCCATGACTTCAGCTGGCAAGTCAAAAATAACAGTCCAGTGAAGCCAAGCCACATACAGAGGGTGCCTCTAAGCACATGAGCTGGCTGCAGAGCTTTCTCGTAGAGGGACAATGCCAAACCACAGGCCACCAACAAGGTTTGAATTAACCTGTCCACTGGCAGGACCCAAGCCCTAAAAAACAAGCTGGTATCCATTGGCTACTCAAGCATGTGCCAGACACGATTCTGAGCACTTTATGGCTGGTGTGGTTGGTTGGATTTTCCCAGTGACCCCATAAAGTAAGTACTGTCATTGTCATCAGTGTTATATAGATTAGTAAACTGAGGCATGGTAAGTTAAGCCACCTGCCTGAAGTCCTGCCGAGAGAAGAGACACGAGTTTTTCAACCACGGCACCTCGGGGGTACATGGAAGTCCAGCCCTGTGCTCTCCGTCTACTTTCATTATCTTCCCTTGGAAGCTGTAAATCTGGTTTAAGACAGGGAGAGGGCCCTTGAATGGGATTTCAGGTGAGCTGTTTGGGGGGTGAGTGTGAACAGACCTAGTGAAAGCCTACCCTCCAACAATAAATGTTTCCTTATGTTTTCACACGCACACCTTGGCAGCGCTGCTAAGTCAGCCAATTCCAGCTTAGATTCAGAGGCGTCTGGCTTCTCACTGGTTTTGTTTAGACTGATATAAACACAGGGTAGACAAGAAAATTAAGGAGAGAACGTGATCAGTCTCAGGCTCCGAGAGAAACCAAAGCGCTGACGTGGAACCGATGGGTTTCCTAGACCAGTGGCCCGGTTCTCCCTCCCTGGTCTCTCTTTTATTTTTTTTTTATTTCTTTTTTTTTCCATTTTATTTATTCTAATTTGTTACACATGACAAAATACAGTTCAATTCACATTACACAAATGGAGCACAATTTTTCATGTCTCTGGTTGTACACAAAGTAGAGACACACTATCCATGTTTTCATACATGTACTTAGGGTAATGATGTCTCATTCCACTGTCTTCCATGCTTCCATGCCCCATCCCTTTCCCTCCCTCCCCTTTACCCTATCTAAAGTTCATCTGTTCCTCCCATGCTACCCCTCATCTCCATTATGAATCCGCCTCCTTATATCAGAGGAAACATTTGGCATTTGGTTTTTTGGGATTGGCTAACTTCACTTAGCATTATCTTCTCCAACTCCATCCATTTACCTGCAAATGCCATAATTTTTTTTTCTTTTCATGCTGAGTAATATTCCATTGTGTATATATGCCACATTTTCTTTATCCATTCATCTACTGAAGGGCATCTAGATTAGTTCTACAGTTTAGGTATTGTGAATTGGGCTACTATAAACATTGATGTGGCTGTATCCCTGTAGTATGCTGTTTTTAAGTCCTTTGGGTATAAACCAAGGAATGGATAGCTGGGTCAAATGGTGGTTCTATTCCCAGTTTTCCAAGAAATCTCTATACTGCTTTCCAGAATGGTTGCACCAATTCACAGTTCCCCCAGCAATGTAAGAGTATGCCCTTGACCTTAAACTATACCACAGAGCTATAGTAACACAAACGGTATTGGCACCAAAATTGACTGGTAGACCAATGGAACAGAATAGAGGGCACAGAGACAAACCCACATAAATACAGTTATCTTATATTCGACAGAGGCACCAAAAACATATGTTGGGGAGAAGATAGCCTCTTCAACAAATGGTGCTAGGAAAACTGAAAATCCCTATGCAACATAAGTCCCTGTATCTCACCATGCACAAAACTCAACTCAAAGTGGATCAAGGACCTAGGAATCAAACTAGAGACCCTGCACCTAATAGAAGATAAAGTAGGCTCTACTCTCCATTATGTTGGATTAGGCCCCAACTTCCTTAATAAGACTCCTCCCTGGTCTCTTTCTAGAGCCCTTGAACCTCTATACTGCAGAGCCTCTGCTGCTCAAGTCCTCAGCAATATCTCCATGGCCTGTGAGTCCCCGCCACTCAGCTGTGCTCTCTCCTTTTTTTTTTTTTTTTTTTGCAGGTAACCTGGACATCACTCCAGATGACCCCCGCTGGATCGGAGCCTGGTGGGGTGGCTTTCTGCTCTGCGGTGCCTTACTCTTCTTCTCCTCCCTCTTGATGTTCGGGTTCCCACAGTCCCTGCCCCCACACTCAGACCCCGCCATGGAGAGTGAGCAGGCCATGCTCCCAGAAAGAGAATATGAGAGGCCCAAGCCCAGCAATGGGGTCCTGAGGCACCCCCTGGAGCCAGATAGCAGTGCCTCCTGCTTCCAGCAACTGAGAGGTAAGGGTAGCTCTTCCACCCTTGGTCCAAATAATAAGGAGGTAGAAATGGGAGGGGATTCGGGAAAGGGTGGTACTCAGGACTGGGTGCTAGAGGACTTGAATGGAGGCTGACTCATATTTGTTGTGCATGACTGCCCCCTACAGCCCTGTGCCTATGGCCAGACTTGCTTGCTGAGAACAAATGTAGTCAGCATTTACCGCTGGAACCCCAACGGTTAATGTAGGACCTGATGTCCAATAAGCATACGTGTCTGTAGATGGAAGAACACAAATGGGGAGTAAGGAAGCAAAACCTTCCAAGCAACTCTTTTCAACTCTTTAAGTCCACTTACGAGCACCTTGAAGCAACAAAGGATTTTTTCAAGTAGGCTCCCTTTGCTTGGTGCACACATTCTTTAAAAAGCCACATCCAAAATGCATTTCTTCAGATTCATTGTCCTTCCTTTGCTAAAGATGAGAGATGTGTTCCTTCCGAAGTAAATGCCAACCCCCTCTTGGTAACAGAGCTATCCAATGGAATGCAGCAAAGCCCCGACTATCGTTTTTAAAAGAAAAACGAGCCCAGCTTTTCTGACAAAATGGGTGAAGCGTAAACAGCGATGCAGAATGAGAATAAGAGGTCCCCCCAGGTTGCTTCCATCTTCTGCACAGTCCCTTCAAGGCAAGGAAAGTGACAGAGTAGCTGAATGTCACCCAGCAGCCTCTGAAGCAGCTCACTGTCTGTCACAGCTGCCCCCTGGTGAGCTACGTGTGGTGATCCCTAATTCACAGGACTCCTTGCTTGGGTCCAGTGAAACACCTGCTGGATTTTAGAAATGAGCAGGCTGCTGCAGGCAGGAGCAAGGAGGGGACACTGTTTCCCTGGTGGAATAAAGGCAATGGCCAGTCACCTCTTTGAACAAACTGAGCACTCAGCTGCTGAGACAGCCCTTGGCATCGACAAATGCAGCCCTCCAGGACTCTCTTTGATCTAACACTAAGAGTCTCTATGCTGAGCATCTGTATAGCAAGGTGCACCTGCTATGGATGCACAAGAGCCTTGGATTGCCTCATATTTGGACCACCGTCTCCTCCTCTGCAGCTCAGCCATCCTTCACTTCTCCCTGCGGTGTTTGCACAATCACACAGTTCTTCCCTGAAAGTACTGTCCTGTAAACAGAAGCACTGCCTGCAGAAGACTGTTAATCCTACCTGTTAGTCCATTAGGCATTGAAAGGATGCATGTGATTTCTGAAAAGACATAATTTAATAACATAATATCATGTCTGATTCCATATTCCATGCCAGTGTCTACCAATGCTGGGATTTGGAATTATCTGTAGAAGATCTTAAAATCCATCTAAGTTCTAGAATGCATAGGTAAGTGAAAGGGCCACCAAGTTTTGTCCTCAGAGTTTGCCTTGGTGGGGACCACCCTCCTCGTTATATTCTAGAACTTAATTAATAACACAGTTACTTCTGGGAGACTCCAAGCTGGCTGGAGGATGATGCCTGCTGCTCCTCTCTAGCCATAGAGACCATCCCAATAATCAAACTCACAGGAACAATTGGATGACACAAGAGTGGGCTTGGCAGAGGACACCCAGAGTGGTAATGCCCGCCTCTCCTGATCTCTCCTCACCCCAGTGTGACAGCCCTGTCTCTCAAGAGGATCACAGTAATCTCTCATCTTCCATCTCTGGGCTTACAAAGATCAAAGAACTCACCACCCTATATGGGAACAGACCAGAAGCCAGCAAGGACAGCCTGGGACAGGGAAACCATAGCAGCAACAACACATAAGGGCAGGGAGATGACAAGCAGTGAGGAGCTCACCTCTCCCAAGAGGAGCAAGGAAAGGATCAAAGGCAAAGCTGAACCGAGTCTTGAGGGGCTGTCATGGCTTCAGAGTTCCTGAGATCCTACTGGGGGTCGGGTACACAATGGTGGCTTAGTGGCTTATATCCTGGAGCTGGTACTTCACTAGGGGAGGGCTGCAATAGGTGAGGTCAAATCAAAAACAATATAAGCATTAGGTGGGCTGTACCTGAGCTGACAGGTGCACAATTGGGTGGAAAGGTCCGGAACACACTAGACCACAAATGATCAGAAGTTGTGATCTGTATACACACCAAATTCTGATTTTTCTGATTAACAATTCCAAGAGGCAGCAGGAGAGGAAGGCTGTGTCTCTAGAAGACTCTTCCCCAGAGCCAGAGGATAGCCATGTGAGCTGTTAAATCTTACACAGGCCAGCACATGGAGAAGGGGCCCTGGTGCTTGCATTCATTCTTTCCCCCATGAGACTAATGGTTTTTCCAGGTGGACATTTTCACCAAAAGCACAGTGCAGTGGCATGGTGGCAACCCCAAACTAAGTTTTCATCCAGTTTTCAGCCTTGAAAGCCCCTGTGGTCTCCAGGCAGCGTACTACATGTTTATGCATAAAAATAAGCTGAGCAATGTTGCACTTAACAGAGGAATTAATAAGGCTCTCAAAACCTGTAGGTTGCAGTTGTTCATGTGTTTTGCTTGAACTTGCAAAAGGGTTTCTTCTTCTGCCATCAATCTGTGTCCCCTGAGTGCTCTGAGTCCCCACCTGGGTTCAAATCCAGCTCAGCCACTCTCACTGGGCCATGTCACTTTACTCTGCTAGGCTTTACCATGTGGGATCTAGTTTCATCTTTACCACAGCTGCAGGAGGATGGTATTATTACTTATGTCCACTTACAGAGGAAATTGAGCTGTGGTGATATGGGAGTTTGGGTCTCAGGTTCATTTTTTCAGGGCACTCCCCTCAAGAAGCAGGCTTCGAAGGTTGATTTCCAACAAAGCCAGCCATCGGTTGGGTTTGTAACCCTTAGCAGAAGGTGAAGGATGGAAAGCAGAGTCTTGTTCCAGAATAGCCCAGGAGTCCCCAGCTTGTAGTGACTGTCATGTAAGCATTTTCCAAAGCAGGCAGCAGATGAACAAATGCTTGGGTTTATTAAACTCCAGTAACTCCCCCAGGTGGAAGCCTGCCAATCCAAGGCACACTTTGCATTTCAGCTGTGCCACCAAATAGCTTTTCTTTTAAGTCCTGGCTCTGAAGGCCTCCTCCCTGATCTTGCTCTTTGAATGGCCCAGCTCTGCCCCAGGTAGCTCCCTATGTGTCTAACACTGTTCTTTCTTCCCTAACCCATGAGTAAGCTGTGTGTTGGCTGGGACTACACCTGGCATGGCCTTCTGAATCTAGGAGATACTCAGCTTTTTGCAGAATTCTTTGTAAAAGGCTGCACCTGGAGAGAGGAAGGAATTCAAGTGACTATAATAGACAGTACTGCATCACTGTAAATCTTAAATTTCACATCCAGATTTTTAATAGGTATTGGGCTCATTTTGAAATAGACATGTATAGAATTATCAGCTAGTCCCCATTACAGGTCACATCCACAGTCTTGTGTTTCATTATAAGTTGTCTCTGGAACCCTTGGAAGCCTTGACAAACAGGACCTAGGACTGTTCTCCACCTTCACCCTCAAAAGCATCTGAGATGCTCCTCCTTGCTACTGTTTCTTCCTGGAATATTTTTTCCTCCTTGGGATCACTTCTGGGCTGGGCTCTGTCCTCATGTTCCTAGGAAGTCTCCTGCAGCCCCTCTATGTGCATGTCACTAAGTGCCTAGGACAAGATGAGCTGCATTTCTCTATCGCTCATGTAGCCCCAGCAAAGTACCTCCTACTGTGTTACCATGGTGGTCTGGCTGCTTGTCTGGATCTACCAAAAGACTGTGGGTCTCCAAGGATGAGATTTTATTTTATCTGCTCATTTGTAGTGAGGAGCACAGTGCTTGGCATGTAGATGGCATCTACATAAAGTAACAAATGCACACTTTCTTGCCAGTGTGCACATGTGTGCTCCCACACATGTTAACAGCAATTGAGGCTGTTTCCCCTGCACTGCCATTGAATACCCCCAGCCTGAGGAGGCTTTGGTGCCATTTTACAGATAAGGGAGTTGAGGCTTAGAGATGGAAAGGAAAGACTTTTGAACTCTGGTGAAGACCCTGATGCCTGTCTTCTTAATCATGACATTGTGCTGCTTCATCTGACAATAAATGACTCTCTTAAAGAACAAGTGATACCGCCAGGTGCAAACTGACTTTTCGGCAGTCTATTAAAACTTTGGCTGTCACACTAGAATAGCACAGATATACCCTAAAGCAATGGGTCTTGCAGACAAGTCTCCAGCCTAAAAGGCAGGGAAGGACACCCTCCTGTTAACACTGGCACATCTTGAACTTCTAGCTGGATGAATGTTACTGCTCCAGAGGTCCCAAACCTGCAGGGCACAACCTGCCTTTGATCACTGAGAGACCAGAGCAGTCAAGAGCCGAGTACTCTTTCTTCTGTGTCTTTCACACTGACCTATCTGTCCAAGTTGCCTCTCTCTGTCCCAGAAAAGATACCCAATTGGGAGACAGCAAGTAGTGGCTGAATGGGTTGGGCAGGACTAGGGTGCCAGGCTCAGAGTCATGAAATTCATCATCCAGACCCTGTAATTTCTGCTACTGGGTCCCACAGCAGATGTGGTGGGGGTTGTAACTGACCTCTGTGTGACTTTCCTGGACTTTGAAGCTTGGGCTAGGGAGTGGTTAAACCAAAAACCTAGGTTCCCCACAGCTAGGACTGGACCCAGGTCCCTAGACACCATTTGCAGTGTGTTCTCTGCCGTTTCCCACAGGATTCTCTAAACTGTTAATGAAATGACTAAGGGGGATAAAGGGAATCCGCCTAGGACCCAAGGCCCTTCCTGTGTGTGATAATGGTTTCTGCTTTACTTGCTTTTCTCCAAAAGAGCACATGTAGAACCCCAGCTCTGGAGGAGACTCGCGTTTAGAGAGCTGAAATGTGCCGGGGCCCAGGGCAGCCCATAACTCAGTTTGCTTATTTGGCCACGCAAATCACTGTACGGCCTGCTCCTGCCCCTGGTCTTGCCCACACTGTAGTCTGCCCCAAACCCCTCCAGTCTGTTTCCACAC